CGCCACCACCACCCAGCTTAAAAGCATTCTTAACATTAAAAATAATTTTGATATATTAAATATCTGACAGATGATCACTGGGATTCTGATTTAAGGTCTAAGATTAAAATATCACGTAACTGACAAGACATACATCAGTATTTAGTATTAGATTTATGGTTTTAGGTTGAGAGATTATCAGTGAGTGATTAGAAACTCTGACTGTGTTAGAATGACCCAGGGTGCTAAAAATGTCATTTTAGGGTCCCCCTCCCCTATATTCTTACGTCATGTGAGGGATAAAGTCTAGTGTGTGAGTGTGTGTGTTGTATTGAGCTAAGGCAGGGTCCTAGGCAGCTCAAACTGGCCTCCACCTCTTTATACAGTTAAGGAGAACCTTGAACTTCTGATCCTCCTGCCTCACTCACTCCTGGGATACACCATGCTGAAGCCCAAACCCAAGCCCTTGTTTGTATTAAGTAAAGCACTCCACCAACGGAGTTAACTCCCAACCCAGAGCCTGTAATTTGTTGTCACGGTTCTAGGTTTTTAAAAAGTACTGAACTATAAAGAGAGAGAGAGAAAGAACATAAAGTTGTGTAGGTAGGGAGATAGGGGAGGATCTGGGAGGAAACTAGGAGAGGGTTAAAACATGATCAATATACACTATATGGTTTGAGGCCATCCTGGTCTACATAGTGAGTTCTAGGCCAGCCAGGGCTACCTAGAGCAACCCTGTATCCAAAAAAAAAAAAAAAACCAAAAACAAAAAAAACATATATACATATACAAATTATATGAAAAAAATTTTCTATCAAAAAATTAGAAAAAAAATTAGTAAACTGGGTGTAGTAGTGCATGCTTTTAATCCCGGCACTAAGGAGGCTGAGCAAGGCAGATCACTGTGAGTTCAAGGCCAGTTTGGTTTACATAGTGAGTTCCAGGACAACCAGGGCTACACTTTTATTTTTTGAGAAATTTTTTGAGAAATAACAAAAGTACTGCATGGCTCCATTTCCTCCCCTTCAGAACAGCTATCAGTAAGAAAACAAATGCTGGGGAGGATACTTGGGGAAAGAGAGCCCTTCCCATACACTGCTGGTGGGAGTGTTTACTGGTACAGCCACTGTGGAAATCAGTTTGATGGCTCCTCAACACACATTTAGCAGACACTCAGCCAACCACTCTTGGGGAATACCTGACGGACTCAGATCCGCACAACACAGAACCTGCATGTGTTCATAACAGCCACGTTACGGGGTCAGTGTAGGTGTCCATCAACAGACAAATGGATTAAGAAAATGGGACATATATACACAATGGAATTTTACCTAACCATAAAGAACAAAATTATATCATTTATGGGAAACGGGTGCAACTGGAGAACGTCATATTAAGGGAAATGAGTCAGACTCAGAAAAACAATTATCATATTCCATCTGTAGATCCTAGATTCTATACCGATACATAAAAATCATAAATGCATATGAGATACGGAAATAGAAGCAAAACTATGTGTGGGAATGTTTGGAAATAATAATAGGAGGGCCAAAGTACATAATAAATTTGTATGGAAATGTGTCTATGAATTCCACTCCTATACACAATCAATTTTAAAAAGTATTGAATTGTTTGTAAGAAATTTAAATTCAGCATAAACTTAATTAATTAAATTTGCTAGTAACTAAGTATCCTTGGGGAAATTGAGCTTGTTAGGTTATGCATCCCAAGTACTTAAAAAGAAAATCAAATATATTAAAATTATAAATGGAGTTAAATGTTTGAGGGAATGCAATTAAACTGTAAGTAGAGCTGAGTGTCTAGAGGAATTTAGTTTGTTCAACTTGAGTTCAAATATTAATCAAAAAAAAGTAAAGGTTGTTTTTCTCATTTCCCTAGATTTTTGTGTAGAACATTGAAGATTCCCCCCCTCCCCCTGAGACTGTCTCACTTCATAGCCTAGGGCTGGCCTCAGACTTTCAATATTTCTGCCTTAGCCTCCCAGAGTGCTGGGAGTACAGCGAAGCACCACTATGCCTGACTCAACAACTGTATTTTTACAAAAAAAAAAAACAAAAAACAAAAAAAAGGCCTTTTTTTTCCTGGATGGTGATGGCTCACACCTTTAATCCCAGTACTTGGGAGGCAGAGGCAGGAGGATCTCTGTGAGTTCAAGGCCAGCCTGGTCTACAAAGGGAGTTCCAGGATAGCCAGGGCTGCACAGAGAAACCATCTTGAAAAAACAACAACAAAAAAACCTTTATTAGTTTTGGTTTTTTGAGACGGGTTTTTCTGTGTAGTTTTGGTGCCTGTCCTAGATCTCCCTCCATGGACCAGGCCAGCCTCAAACTCACAGAGATCTACCTGGCTCTGCCTACCAAGTGCTGGGATTAAAGGCGTGCACAACCACCACCTGCCCCCCCTTTTTCTTCAAGACAGGGTTTTTCTGGAACTTACTCTGTAGACCAGGCTGGCCTTGCATTCAGAGATCTGCCTTCCTCTGCCTCCCAAAGTACTGGATTAAAGGAATGTGCCATCACCACCCAGCTTTTTTTTTTTTAAAAAAAAATAAGACTGGGTCTTACTCTGTAGTCCTGGTTGGTCTAGAACTTACTATGTTGCTGAGGCTAGCCTCAAATTTACAGAGATCTGCCTCCTCTACCTCCCAACTATTGGGATTAAAGGAATGTGCCATCATGCCCAACATTTAAAAATTTTACTAAAAAACTGAAAAAAAATTGTTTTCTTTATTTTTTTTTAAAGTTTCTTTTATGTGCATTGGTGTTTTTTGAGTGCATGTACTTCTGAGTGAGGGTGTCAGGTTGCCTGGAACTCTTGTGGATTGTGGAGGACCTGGATTTAGTCTCTAGTGCCCACATGCAGCTCACAGCTATTCATAATTCCCGTCCTAAGGGATCCAAAGCACAAATGTGGTGCACATACACACATACATTCAGGCAAAACACTCACACATATAAGATAAAAATAATAAATGTTTAAAAATAACACAAAGTAGAAATTAAATCAAATCAAATAAGCCACACCTTTAACCCCCTTTAGTCATCCTTTTCATCCCACATAAAATGATTTCCTGTCCTCTGAACTTACAGTCAACCAAATTTGTTGTAGGTATCTTGCAGGTGATAGCAAAACCTAAGTATTCTTTCCCTGCAGGCTCACAACTTCCTGCCAGAAGTTACCAGGATGCTTTGCAAGTAGTAAACAGGCATGCTGAGAGGAGCCCATCCTCAGTATTGTCCACTTCCCCTTTAGTCCCTAACCAGACTTCACTGCTGCGCTTTACAGGTCACATAAAGTCAGGACTGATCAAGGTCACATATGTCAGACGGCGAGTTATGACTAGAGATCAGTCCTCGGTGTAATCTATCAATTCGTTTATTTAGAGAAAGAGTCTAATGTAGTCCAGGCTGGGCTCAAACAATACCTTGCCAATGCTCTGAACTTCTTCTGTTTCTCCTGCCTCCACCTCCCAAGTGCTGGGATTGTAATCCTGCGCCAGTCTTCAGGTTTTATCCCAGTCTCAGACCAGCCCTCTGAACTTCAGAATCATAGCCCCATTTGCTCTAGATGTTTCCACTTCATAGCTAAGGGACAACTCACATGAAACACAATTTACAGAGCTGGAGAGCCTGTTAGAAGCATGTACTACTCTAACAGAGGGCCCAAGTTTGGTACCTGGCACCCACATAGGATAGCTCACAAACCACCTCTAACTCCAGCTCCAGGGGATCCAATACCCTTTCCTGGATTCTGTGGGCACTGCCATTCAGGAGCACATATCAACCCCTCCACCCACCTTATACATATGCATAATCTGCCATAACAAAAAATAAATCTTTAAACACACATACAATTTACAGGCCAGGCACAGTGGTGCATGTCTGTAATTTCACCCTTCCAGAGACAGAGACAGGAGGATCACCAGGAGTTCAGAGTCAGGCTAGTCTATGTAGTTGGTTCCAGGCCCCCCAGAGCTAGTGTGAAAACTGGTCTCAGAATAAGCAATTAGACAAAAACAATTTAGTCCTTGAGGTAAACTTTGATTTTCCCCTATATATTTATTCTTTTTGTTTGTTTTTGTATTGTTTAGGACAGGGCTTGTCTATGTAGCCCTGGGTGTTCTGGAATCTGTAAACCAGGCTGGCCTTGAACTCAAAGACTCACCTGTCTCTCCAGAGTGTTGGTACCAAAGGCCTGCACAATTGAACGCAGGGTTTTTGTTTGTTTGTTTTTGTTTTGTTTGTTTGTTTGTGGGTGGTTTTTTTGTTTGTTTTGTTTTGTTTTGGTTTGGTTTGGTTTGGTTTTTCGAGACACGGTTTCTCGGTGTAGCTTTTGGAGCCTGTCCTGGAATCCTGAAACTCACTGTGTAGACCAGGCTGGCCTCGAACTCACATAGATCCGCTTGCCTCTGCATCCCGAATGCTGGGATTAAAGGCCTGCACCACCACCGCTCAGCTTCTGATTCCTCTTTTTTTCACAAATCTGCTAGCTTGCTCCATCTACCCTACCTCCCAAAATGCATCTCAAATCTGATGATTATTCTAATCCACTCTTCTCTAAATCACCTTCCTCTGTAATTTCCCCTCTTCAGTCTATTTTCTACCAAGAAGCCAGAAAGATAGCATTACACTGTAAGTTAGATCTTGTCACATTACAGTTTAAAACCATTCAGTGTCTCCCTCGTGCAATTAGGAAAAAAATAGACTCCTTATCACAGGTACAAGGCCAGACTAGAAATGACCTCAGGCCACCTACTAAGAGTCCAGGCTACATTTTCTGAAGCACCCCAGCACTACAACTGCCTCTAAAACTTTGCACAAACATCCAGTTTACGCACATTATCCTGTTTACCCTGCTGCTACATATTCAGTCCTCCGTTGAGTGGCTACCGGGCTTAGAGAGCACCACCAACCTGTCCAAGCATTCAGTTTTTTCTTCTCGAGTCCTAGTTTCCAGAAGCGCTGGCCCTCTTCATTACCCAGACAATAGCCCGAGCACTCCACCAGAGCTGGGACCTTTCATCTGCTGGGGGCCAGCTCAAGACCGAGTGGGGATCCTCAGAAAAGCATTTGTAGGGTGCCTTTTCCAACCAGGTCGCCTGCCTTCGAGGCCAGGGTTCTTGGATTCAAAGCCTGCGAGCTGGAGGACAGGAAGAAAAGGCAAAGCCACCTTTTTCTCCTGAGGCGTGACTAAGGGTTAGACCCCTAGGACCCGACTTTTGCTACCTCCAAGCCTACACCTGGAGCAGGTTCACAGAAGGCAGAGGCACAGAGGCAGAGGGGCGAGATGAAGGCACGGAAGCCCGGGTCCCCCTGGCCTCTCTAGCCACTCCCTATGCCAGAAAATGCTGACAGCACGGATTTTGAACGAAGAGCTCGTTATTCTGGGTAGAGAAGTAGTATAGAACTCGGCCCAGGACGTCTGGCCAAAAATACCTGGCTGGACGGCTCCGAGCTCCTCCTCTTGCGTTCTCGGGTGGCGCTCTGCTCGCTGGGATTCGTAGTCCTTTCTAAAGTATACGCGAAGACTGAACGCTAAGGCGGGACAGCGCGGGGCAAGATGGGGAAACCAAGGGGTTTTTGGGAGTTGTAGTTCAAATAGTCAAACAGCAAGAAATAATTGAAGAGAAAGACTGGGTAATAAATTTTACCAAGCTTTGGCTGTGTGGATATGAACATAGTAAGAATCTGTTATCCTATGCACACTATGACTTTCTGTGTGATTCAAAACGTCAACGCTAAGATACAGAGGAGGAACTACAATTCCCATAAGGCAGTGCGCGCCGAAACTTTTGGTTGGAATGAGAAGTCGGCCTCTACGCAGACTCAGTAGAGCAAATTCAGTAGCGAGGCGACATGGCGCCGGCGATCACTTCGCGTTTGTACTCCCTGCTGTTCCGCAGGAATGCAACCTTCGCCCTCACCATAGTAGTGGGCGCCCTTTTCTTCGAGCGCGCCTTCGACCAGGGCGCAGACGCGATCTACGAGAACCTCAACGAGGGGGTGAGGGCCTGGGCCGTCCTGACCTTGGGCCCGCCTGAGGGGTGACTGGGAGGGAGGGAAGGAGGACGAAACTCAGTTCGTCCCTTGTCTTGAGCCTGTACCTCCAGTTCGCATGACCTGGTGTGAGTCCTGAATCTCACATGGACCCCCATTGCAGGGGCTGGGAGTTTCGGTATGTCCTACCACACATTTCCACATGTTCATTTGCAAAAGCTAACGCCCGAGACTTGACCGGTCCGAACTACCCCGTAAGTCGGTGGCGAGTGGGTTAGAACTCCGACCACTGCCTCCCTCGCTGGTTTCAAGGGCAGCAGGCCAGTCATTAAAGTACGTCTCCGTGGACAATGTGGCTGACCTTGTAAGATTGATGTCTCAGTTCCCAAGGCCTCCCACGCAGGCAGCTTTGTTCTGATGGATAAAAGTGGCATAAAGTAGGAAATGGCGAGTCCTTTTTGACTTAAGGTTTCAGGTTCTGTGCATGTTTTATGTCCTGAGATTGTGGCTGTACTGGGAAAGGCCTGGTACACATGGCCAGCCTGTTCCTCAACTGGTTTTCTTTTTTATTTGTTTGTTTGTTTTTGTTTTTCGAGACAGGGTTTCTCTGTGTAGTCCTGGCTGTCCTGGAACTCTGTAGACCAGGCTGGCCTCGAACTCATAGATCAGCCTGCCTCTGCCTCCCAAGTGCTGGGATTAAAGGCGTGCACCACCACCACCAGGCCTAACTGTGCACTTTTAATCAGAGTCTGACACCCATTTCTCAGTATTCTTTGTTTTGGACAACGAAAGTAGTTGTAAAGTGTGAGGGCAGAGGTTATAACTACCTGTTGTTGTGTTTTAAATACAGAAGCTGTGGAAGCACATAAAGCACAAGTATGAGAACAAGGAGTAACTCCTGACAGCCGGAAGGAACGGTTCCACCCATCAACTGTTTGCCTGGAGCGGGGCCTCAGCCTGAGGATGAGTTTGAAGTTACTCTTCATGGACCATCTGTGTATTGGCAAGCAGTGCCACCACCCTGCAGACAGACTCCAGCTTCTGCTGTGTTGGAAGTGTATTTGACGACAGTTAGCAGCAAATAAATGTAAATTGTTCATGAGACCTACTTTTGCACTTTATTTTATTTTTTTAAGATTTATTTATTGGGGGTGGGGTGGGGTCTGTGGATAGCATGAGGAGTGAGTAGAAAATTTTTTTTTTTTTTTTTTTTTTTTTTTTTGGTTTTTCGAGACAGGGTTTCTCTGTGTAGCTTTGTGCCTTTCCTGGAGCTCACTTGGTAGCCCAGGCTGGCCTCGAACTCACAGAGATCCGCCTGGCTCTGCCTCCCGAGTGCTGGGATTAAAGGCGTGCGCCACCACCGCCCGGCGAAAATTTCTTAATAAAGAAAAATAAAAGAGATCCTAAAAGATTTCTCATGAGAAAAACTAACATGAACATACACATAACTTTAAACAGAAACAAATATGGGTATGTGTATAATGATTCATTAAAATATATACATTTGTAAAAAAAAAAAAAAAAAAAAAAGATTTATTTATTTAATGTACTTTGAGGTTTTGCCTGCATGTATGTGTGAGGGTGGGTGCTGGGATTTGAACCCAGGTCCTTTGGAAGAGCAGCCAAGAGCAGTGGCCTAAACAGAGAGCCATCTCTCCAGTCCTGCTTTTGCACTTACTAACTTCCTAAGTTGAGACCATGTTCAAGCCTCGTGCAAACACCTGAAGAGACCACCATTAACTTCCAAAGAATTTTGGTTTCAGCACATAAGCCTGATAGACGTTACCTTTAAACCATTAGTTACAGTTTTTTGGTTTTATTTAATATGAATGGGTGTTGTGGTGCCCAAGGACACACTGCATCCCTGCAACTGGAGTTACAAGTGGTTGTGAGCTGCCATGTGGGTGCTGGGAATTGAACCCAGATCTGGGAGAGCAGCCAGTGCTCTAAATTGTTGAGGATCTCTTCAGGCCCCTTCAGTTTTAAATCACAGAGTGATTATTCTCTTGGCCATTAGGAAGCACTGTGGTCTTGGCTAGGAAAAAACCTTACTCTGGGAGTCTTGTCCCAATCCCTTTCTCAGGCTGAAGTCTTGTCTTTTGCCCTTTAACTTCATGAGTGATTATCAGTGGTCTCCATGTCTCTCTAGGCCAGGGTTCCTGTCAGGGTCAGTTTATGAGAGTATTGGTGAATTTAAATCCTAAACCTAACGGTTCTTAACTGTATGTACCAAGGAAAACACCCAACGTTGCTGAACTTGAGATTGCTTACCTGTAAGGTGGGGTTAATAGAACCTATTTGCACAGAGGGCTTTGTACATGTTAAAAACTGCATTTAGGAGGCTGGAGAAAAGGCACTAAGAGCACTTACTGTTCCTGCAGAGGATTGGGGTTTGAAACCAAGCACCCATCTTGGGTGGGTCACAACTGCCTGGAACTCCAACTATAACTGGACCAGTCTGTGGTGCTTGGGGAACCTGGAGAGAAGCCCTCCAGCAACACCAGTCTACTCTGGTGACTAGCCTAGCAAATAACCTAGCTGTCATCATAGAACCTTTGTCCAGTGACAGATGGAGGCAGATACAGAGATCTATGGCCAGGCACCAGGCTGAGCTCTGGGAAACCAACCCATGAGAGAGAGGAGAGATACTGCAGGCGAGGGACGTCGAGATCATGATGGGAGGATGTGCAGAGATGACCAGCCACACTAGTGGAAGCCCATGAACTGTGGACTGGTGGCTGTGGAACCCCCATGGGACTGGACTACGCCCTCTGGACACGGAAGACAGTTGTTTGGCTCAAACTGTTTTGGGGGAACCAAGGCAGGGGGATCAGGATCTGTCCCTGGTCTATGGGCAGGCTTCTGGAACCCGGTGCCTGTGGTGTGACACCTTGCACAGCCTTGGCGCAGTGGGAAGGGGCTTGGACCTGCCTAGGCTCAGTGTGCTGGGCTCTGCTGACTCCCCATGGGAGACCTTGATTTGGGGGATGTGGGGATGCGGGGTGTCTTGGGAAAAAGGGCTTGGGGGTGGGAGGAGGGAGGAGGGGGGTCTGTGGATAGCATGAGGAGTGAGTTGAAAATTTCTTAATAAAAAAAAAAAAAAAAAGAGGATCACACACTGCTTTGGCCCCCATGGGCACTGGTCATTCTCAGACACAGACACACATGCACACACAAATAAATCTTCCTTTAAATCGCAGATCCTGTTACAGGGAGGCCACTGCAGGCACAAAGGCATGGATGATGAGGACCCAGAAAAAGGGCACTATGGCTCTGTTGCCTTCAGGCTGTGGCAAGCCAAGTCATGATGTGGAGCATAGCGACTCAGCTCAAATAGCCAATGAGCAGGCTCAGAGGGGGTGGGGTGAAGCAACCTGAGCATTCTGGAAGGCTGGAGCAGTAGGAATGTAAGGAAGAGGGATTTAAAAAAAAAAAAAAAAAGTATTTGGGTGGTCCCTGCTTGGAGGCCATATTGGTAGGAAATTGCATGTGGGTCTTGAATTCTTAAGGGGAGACACCAGGGACCATGATGTGATTACTTATGGGTCAAGAGCTCCAGGGAACAGTACAAGGAGAGGAGACAGCCACAGGGAAGTTGGAGACCTTCAAATAGCTGAGACCTGGAGGTGATAGAATTGAGCCATTTGGGTTGGGCCTTGGAAACAAAGCCGAGGCAGGCAAACTGAATAGCTTTGAAACCTGGTACTCCACTAGGCTTGGCCTATATACATACCCATCTCCAAATAATGCTCCTAGCAATATGTTGCCATGCTGGGGCCCCTAACTTCATTAGGATGTACATATAATTATTTCTAGTTATTAAACTGGAAGTAAGTTTCTCCCCTTAGACACCCCTTGATGATGCCCAATTTCTGTCGAACATGCTGGAATACACTCTAAAACCAAGGGAAATGGGTTGGGGAATGTTATTTTAAAAAGGGTGTTGCATTTTTTTCCTACTGCTTTTGTTAACAATTCAAAGGTGTGTTTGATTAAAAATTAACCTGGGAGCAGGAGGCTGGGTCAGCAAGTAGTTGACCGGAAGTGGTAAGGAGGAACCACGAGTGTAGCAAGGGTTTTTTAAGTGAGGGCTGAGAGAAGGATGCTGGGTTTTCTGGAAGACACCAGCAAAGGGAGAAGGTTAGCTACTTGCTATTTATACAGCCTCTCTGAGAGAGCAGAATTCCACATAAACCATTGAATTGTGAGTTCTTTAGATTCAGATAAATTCTCCCTTAGTAGCTTTGAAAGAGTCCGTGCCTGAGAGAACAGAATCCCCTCAGGCTGCGGCCCTTGTGGCCAAACCACTGCTGGTAGTGGTGGAGTTACAATCTCTGACTAGGACAGCCATTGCTTAAAGGGCAGTCACTGTAGCTAATAAAAAACAGATGACAACAGAAATGGTTTGATCTGGCCTAATACTTTGGAGTATGTGTACAGTAAGGCAAACTGTGGCCTCTATTTAACACATGAGATATTCCTCACATGGGACACCAAAATACAAGTGCAGGAGGCACACTGTATTCTCTAAGTGAGTGTTTAGAGAGAATCCCCTATCTAATGCCTATGCACAGTTGGATGTACTCTGATTAAAATCAGACACATAATAGAAAACTGTTATAGAATCTATCATCGAAACAGGGAACCACCCTCAATACACTCCTTAGCAACCAGACTCCTCCTTCTCTGTAACCCACATAAGGAAGCCTCAAATAGTAACCTGGGCCCTTAAGCACCCTTGCTCATGTGGCTTCTGTCATCCTGCAGCTCCCTCCATGTACTATGGCCTTGCTTTTGCTTCAAGTCCCCTTGTTACTTTGCAACCTCTGTGAGCCTTTATTTCAATGTTTAAATAAGAGAATGCAGCCCCTGAGTAATAGCCACCAGAAATCTCTTTCTCTGTCTTACACACACACACACACACACACACACACACACACACACACCACTGTTTGGGATTAAAAGAAGAAAAAGCAGACCCTTCAATGACTAACGATACTGACTATGCCTTTTCTTTCATTTGCTTGCTTCCCTTCACCACTGAGGCCTAGTATCTGCTAGCAAGGGCTCCACCACTGAATGGCATCCCTGGTCCATAGGAAGTGGCCAACCAAAGAAGCAGATTCAGGGATGCGGGTATAGTCTGCCTTAGAATTCCTGCCCAGCATGTGCAAGGTCCTATGTTCCATTCTTAGCACTGAAAAAAAGTCACACTGGAGAAATCAGTGTGGACCTATGAGGACGTTAGGCCTATGTAGACATTACAAGGATCTGGTGTGTTCTAGTTAGTTTCCTGTTGCTGTATTAGAACATTCTTAGAATCTGGAGAGATGGCTCAGCTGTCAAGAGGTCTGGCTGCTCTTTCAGAGGTCCCTGGTTCAATTTCTGTCACCTACATGGTGAATCATAACTGTGTAACCCCAGTCCCAGGAGATCTGAGCCCTCTTCTGGCCTCTGTGGGCACTGTACACACATGGTACACAGACACACATGCAGGGACACATTAATACACATAAAATAAATACATATATTTTTAATTAAATACGGAAAAAAATTAAATATGCCAGGCGGTGGTGATGCATGCTTTTTATCCTAGCATTTGGGAGGCAGAGGCTTGTGGATCTCAGTGAGTTCAAGGCCAGCCTGCTCTATAAAGAAAGTTCCAGGACAACCAAGACACACAGAAACCCTCTTTTTTTTTATTTTATTTTTTTTTTTTGGTTTTTCGAGACAGGGTTTCTCTGCATAGCTTTGCGCCTTTCCTGGAGCTCACTTGGTAGCCCAGGCTGGCCTCGAACTCACAGATATCTGCCTGGCTCTGCCTCCCGAGTGCTGGGATTAAAGGCGTGCGCCATCACCGTCCGGCCAGAAACCCTCTCTTAAAAAAAAAAAATCAACATTGCCCGAAAGCAGCTTGGAGAGGAACTGCTTTATTTGGCTTATACTTCCAAGTCACAGTCCATGTTGGTGAGGTCAGGGCAGGAGCTCAAGAAGACACCATGGAAGAACACAGCTTACTGGCTAGCTCAGGCTCAGCTCACTTTCTTTTTCTTGAAACAAGGTCTCTCTATATAGCCCTGGCTGGCCTGGAGCTTGCTATGTAG